CCAAAAAAACCGTTATTTGGGCCCCCAGAAACGTTACTTTGGGAAAACCCACAAAAAGTTTTTTTAGAGGCCACAAAAAGTTATTTAGGCCACAAAAACCTTTTCCCTTGGGGCCCACAAAAATTTATTTGGGGGCCACAGAAAGTTATTTTGGGGCCACAGAAACTTTAAATTTTTTGGGGGGGGCCAAAAGGAAACGTTACTTGGGGCCCAAAAAAACTTATTTAAGGGCACAGAAACCTTTTACTTTGGGCACAAAAACGTTACTTGGGGCCACAAAAAAACTTTTACTTAGGGACACAGAATTGTTATTTCCAGGGAAAAGACACGAATTTTTTTTTTAAACGAGGGCCTAACTGATTTGGTTTTACTGGGGGGCCACAGAACGTTATGACCCCGGCCCACAAAAAAACGTTACTTAGGGGGGGGCCAAAAAAAACGTTACTTAGGGCCACAAAAAGCGGGTTTAAAAAACCCCTAGGGGCCAAAAACCAGAAACTTTTTATTTAAAAAAAGGGACAAAAAAAGAAATTGTTACTCGGGGGACAGACCCCAAAAATTTTTAATCGGGGACCCCGCCAAATTGTTACTGGGGGGAACAAAATTTTGTTTACTCAGGGACACAGAATTTTTTACTCGGGGCACGGGAATTGTTACTGAGGGACACAGAATTGTTACTAGAGGGCCACAAAGTTACTTCCAGGGACGGGACACAGAATTTTTCCCGGGACAAAAAGCACGGGGAAGTTGTTCCCTAGGGACACGGGAATTTTTTACTGAGGGCCACAAAATTTGTTACTAAGGGCCGGGAAAAGTTACTAGGGACCAGAAATTTGTATACCAGGCCCGGGGACACAAAATTGTTACCAGGGCAGACAAAAGAATTTTACTAGGGAAAACAAAAAATTGTTATCGGGAAGGGACACAAAATTTTGTTACTGGGGCACAGAATTGTTAGGGGGGCCACAAAAAACTGTTACTTGGGGCCAAGAAACTTTAACCGGGACACGGAATTTTACTCAGGGACAGACAAAAGAATTGTTACTCAGGGCCCCCCCCGGGAATTTTTTAATTAAAGGTATGTCAGCCCAACATGCAGAGGAGGGGCAGAGGGGGCCCAAAGTTTTGGGAGCGAGCAGACGGGGCAGCAGAGGAAGGGGTCAAAGGAAAGCACTTTTTCCGCACCAACCCCCAGTCTCCCGGTTCACCCAGCGGTCTGCTCCACCGACAACCCTGGCCGTCATCATTGGGTTTGGCTGGGTTTTCTTTCCCCCTCTTCCCGGGCCCAACCTCTGACCCCTACCCCAAACGGCCCGGGGGGGTAGGGTCGGGAACAAAAACCCTTTTATTTGGGCTTTCCCCGGGAGCAAGCCCCCCTTAAAAATCACTGCCCCTCTACCTCCCCCTGTCCTTTGGTTTTCCCTCCCCAAGGGCAAAGGGTACGCTTGCTGTGGGCTCAGCCCCACTGTACATTTGGGGGAAGGCTAACAGGGGCGGTCAGGAACGGGGGGGAGACACCCCGCCTCTTCACACCAGGCGAAAAAGTATTTTGCGGGGAAAGGGCTCGGTAGCCGGTCTAGAGACAGGTCTGTCCCCTGCCCCCACAGCAGCCGAGGGGGCTAGTTAGGTGGGCGGAGCCCCTTTAAATTGATGATTTTGAGGTGATCCACTTGGCACCCTCGTCGATCGGGCTATTGTTTCCCCCGCATCATCAGGAAAAAGGGGGTGGCATTTTTGGCAGCGAGAAAAACAGTGGGGGGGTTTTGGCCCAGGGGGCCCGCAGGGTCGCGGGCATTTCCCATTTGGAGGAAAAGGGCCCAAAGGATTCAGAAACCAGCTCCACGCGGGCCAAACCACCCGGCCAGTATGGGGGCCGGTGTGGGGGGAAGAAAGCAGTCAGCCAGTGAAAAGTATTGGGGGCAAAGTTTTCCTACTCGGGGGTTGTGGCAATTTTTTGCAAGCCGCCCGGGGAAAGTAACGAAAGCCGTATGTCGACTATGGGGCCCAAAAAAGTCAAGCGGGCCAGGGGGCCCATTTTGGGACTACAGCTTTTGGGGGCGCTTGGGCAGCGTCGCCATTTGGGGGCCCTGGGAAAACCGGGTTTTAAAGAAAACGGCGGTTCTGCCCCCCCCACCCCCCGCTCCATCCCCGCTCCGTTATTTTGCTCCGTCACCCGACGTCAATCGCCCTCTTCACCAGTAAAGGCTCCCAACACCCCCCGCTGAGGGGATTTTGTCGCTGGGTTCCATTTTTCCGCTCGTTTCAGATGTTTCCTTCTCCTGCAAATCCCCCTTTAAACGGTTTCCGCAGCGTCTTTTTTTGGGGAAAATCCTTTTCCAAGAAAAAACATTTTTTGCGAGCACGCCCCGACGGTGCAAAAACCCTGAACTTTCCTCCTGTCCAAGTTGCGGGTGTTTTGCAGCCCCTCCCTTTCCAAAGTGGGGGAAACCAGCACCTTTCCGAAAAAATGATGGCTTTTGCCGCGCCGGGGTGGGAGTGCCAAGCCCGTAAATTTCTTCCCCAAAAAGGCAGTGCAGCCCTGCATTCACATGTAGAAGAGATGGTGGGCCAGTCTTTGGAGCATGTCGGTCGCTGCCAAAGTGCACGGGCAAGCGCCGGACGTGTGGATAGCTGTAACATACGGTCAGGGTCCAGTACATGTCTATTTACGCGCCCACTGGTGTGAACGTGGTTGCCGGTCACCAGCCGCACCAGTCAACATTGGACAGGTTCACGCCGCTTTTGCCCTCCACCGTTTTGCACGTCCTTGGTCCAGCAAAGATGTCGCCCCTTCTCCACCTCTTCTTCCTTCGTGTCCTCAGCCGCCACCCCGTGCCAGAAGTCCCATTACACAGACCGGGCATATAACATGTGCAGGGCGCATCGGTGTCACGCTGTGCTGCACACCTGGTATGCCTTTGGCGAACGGTAGTCAAACAGGGGTAGGTACTTCTCAGTTGTCAATGAACAGAGAAATCGACAGATGGCTGTCTGCTCGCGCCAAACTGGAAATCGGAAACCATGTTGGGACCGTCAACGGAAAGAACATGGTGTCTGCTCTGCGTCCAGGATGGTTTGTGCCATTGCGCCATGCCATGGCTCACGTGTTCAATCTGGTTGTCAAGCGGGGTTCCTAAAATCCACCATTCCCACCTGCAAGACATCCTTAAAATGTCACGTAAAACCTTTGCACTGCATTTCAAGCCATTCCTACACCGCAAAAGCACACCCTCCTTGAGCTGCACGCGGCAGAACGGATATTCCACAGCAATCGCCTGATCTGCGACGTTGCAACAAGGTGGAATATCAACCCTACACATGGTAGGACCGCCTTTACGATACTGCGCAAGGCCATTCACCGTATTTGCCTGATGTTACAAGCGGATAAAGGTACTCCCTGTGTAACTTCGATGTCAGCCTCATTGGCAGCTCATGCGTGACACCTCGCGCTTTGCTCAGGCCCTTTGAGGAAGACACGCATTTACGTGAGTCGGCAGGACTATTGGGTTATGATCGACGTCATCTTTCTTCTGTTAGCTCACGTCCTGGAAACAAATGTCTGTTTAACAATGGATCTGGTCAGGGTGCGGTATAGACGTGTGCGCACAGATCTCACGCCCCATGGACCCCTGTGGGGGCAGGGACAGGAAGAAGAGGAGGAGCGTAGAGGAGGAAATTTGTGGCTAAAGGACATTATTGAGAGAAATGGGTGGTTTTTCCACTCAGCGGACAGGAGTGGAGGAGCCAGGAGCTATCTGGTAGCGGAGGGGGCGGAGGAGACAGAGGACCCCAGACGCCACCGTGGCAGTATATTGCTGTGGAGATGGCAGGCAGGGAGGAGTTCCTCGCATTCCTTGGCACCAAATGGCCTATAAGCATGCTCGCTTGCTTGCGTAGCAGAACAGGCCAGGAATAATAACACATCAGGACAGAGTAATTGACCTTATGGCTTTGTCTCACCTCTGGTTGGGACCCTCGCTACCGTTCTAAAATTGGTGGCCTTTTTCACAACCTGCTGAGAGGGAGGCCAAAATAACGTTACTATATAGAAAACCACCTATGTAGTCAGTTAGTCTCTGCACCTTGTGCGCCAACGTGCCGTCCTCAGTCACTGTGGGCCCTGCTCGCGCTCTGCAGTTCGCGCTGCCATGGCAGCAGGGGAGGGGTGGGGTGGTAGAGCCAGTGGTAGCTTCCATCCCCCAGCAGTCGGCTTACACTCAGTCTGCAGTCGATGATGAGGTAGCTTTCTTCTCACCAGCGCAGTGAGGACAACTGTACTTAACAAGCCGCAAGCAGCATAGGTCGGACCTGGTAGAAAGGACCTCAAACAACACGGCTTGGCCTTACAATTCGGACAGCACCCTGCCAACCGCAGGTAGACAATCCCCTTGGAACTACTGGGTCAACTGAAACTTGACCTCTTGGCCCCAACTAGACTGTATTAGCCATTGTAAAGGCTGTGGTCTATGCCCACGGGCCTGTAGCGTGGCATCGGCAGCGCGTGTTCTGTGCCGGCCAGGAGGTATTGTAAACTCGCGGACACGACTGTCCACCAAAAGTGTGGAGAGACCCTCACGTTTGTGAAATATGAATCAGGCGTGGGATTAGTACTGGATTTCCTAACCACCTGTTCCTGACACAAAACTGACTATCAATCCGCCATGAAAGCATGCCCCCTGCCATGTGCCACTTTCACGTCTTCCTCCACACTGCTGGTGCGTTCCCTTTTTTGTCATTAGGGTGTCTGGCAGATTTACGGGCCTACCATAGCTGCTGCCAGGACCATAATCTCGCCATGGGCACCCTGTACCGCTCCTCCTCATGCTGCTGCCAGGGTCCACTCACAGTGTGCCTCAACTGCCATGTGCCACTTTCAGGTCTCCTCACACTGCTGGTGCTGTGTCACATTTTCTTGTCATAGCGGTGCTGGCAGATTACGGGCCTCCTATCGCTTGCTGCCAGGCCCCTATATGCTGCTTGGGCCCCCTATACCACGCTCCTCATGCCTGCTGCCAGGTCCAGGAGTCTCTCATGGGTCCCGGTACGGCCTCCCATTGCTGCTGGTCTCCATCGCCACACTCTTCCATGTGCCACTTTCAGGTCTCCTCACATGCTGTGAGTGTGTTCCATTTTTTGTCATAGGGCTGCTGGCAGATTACAGGCCTCCATAGCTGCTGCCTGGCCCCTCTAATCTGCCATGGGGCCCCTGTTCTGCCTCTCATGCTGCTGCCAGGTCCACAGTGTCTTCATGCCATGTGCCACTTTCAGGTCTCCTCACACTGCTGGTTGTGTTCAATTTTTTGACATAGGGTGCTGGCAGATTACGGGCCTCCCTAGTGCTGCCAGAGGCCAGGCCCTAATCCTGCCATGGGCCCCTTATACACGCATCCTCATGCTGCTGCCAAAGTCCAGGAGTCTCTCATGGGTCCCCTGTACGGCGTTCCCATTGCTCGCTGTCTCCTTCGCCCACACTCTGCACATTGTGCCACTTTCTGCTTCCTCACACCACGGCTGGTGTGTTCAATTTTTTGACATAGGGTGCTGGCAGATTACGGCCCTCCTCATTAGCTGCTGCCAGGCCCCTTATTTGCCTATGGGCCTCCTGGTACCGCCTCCTCATGCTGCTGCCAGGGGTTGGGGGGTGTTCACAGTGTCTCATGCCTGTTGCCTCGTTCAGGGTCTCCCTCACACTGCTGTTGTGTTCCATTTTTTGTCATTTAGGGTGCTGGCAGATTTCGGGCCCTCCCATAGCTGCTCGCCCAGCGCCCCTAATCTGCCATGGGGCCCCTATACCGCCTCCTCATGCTTGCTGCCAGGTCCAGAGTCTATACATGGGTCCCTGTATCGGCCTTCCCATTGCTGCTGTCTCCAACGCTCCACACTTGGCCATGTGCCACTTTCAGATCTCCTACCACTGCATGAAGTTTGATTTGTGTGTTCCATTTTTTGTCATAGGGTTGCAGGCAGGCTTACGGGCCTCCCCATTGCTGCGCTGCTCAGCGCCCGTAAATCTGCCATGGGTCCCGCGTACTGACTCCTCATGACTTGTGACGTTGCAACAAGGTTGAATTCAACCCTACATATGTTAGACCGCCTTTACGAACAGCGAAAGGCCATCACAGATTTCCTGATGTTAAAAGCGGATAATAGGTACTCCCTGTGTAACTTAGATGTCAAGCCATTGGCAGCTTCATGCGTGACACCTGCGCTTATTTCAGGCACCGTTTGAGGAGGCCACGCTATTCGTGAGTCGGGTAGGACTATGGGATGAACGACGTCATTCCATCTGTTGTACGTCCTGGAACAAATGCAGTTAACAATGGCTCCTTGTCAGGGTGCGGTAGAAAGTGGCGCACAGATCTCAACGCACATGAACCCCTGTGGGGGCAGTGGACAGGGAAGAAGAGGAGGAGGTTAGAGGAGGACATTGGTTGCTCAGAATTTACTGAGTGAAATGGGTGGTTTTTTTTTTTACCACTCAGCCGGACAGGGGGGAATGTGGAGGAGCAGGAGCATCTGGTAGAGGAGGGAGGAGGAGGAGACAGAGGTACCCAGACGCACCGTTGGCAGTATGCTGTGGAGATGGAGGGCAGGAGGATCCCTCGCATTCCTTGGCACAAATGGCCCAATAGCATGCTCGATTGCTTGCGTTCCGAACAGGCCGAATAATAACCATCAGACAGATGGGATGACTTTTGGCTGTCCACCTTGTTGGACCTCGCTACCGTTCAAAAAAATGGTGGCCTTTTTCACACCTGCTGAGAGGAGGCCAAAATAACGTTACTATAAAAACCACCTATGTCAGTCAGCTGGTCTCTGCCTTATCTGCGCCAACGTCCATCCTCGGGACACTGTGGGGCCCACTGTGCGCTCGTGTTCCGCGCTGCCATGGTCAGCAGGGGAGGTGTGGGGGAGGTAGGAGCAGTGGCAGCTCCACAGCTGTCGCAGCTGCCTCTAGTCTGCAGTCGATGATGAGTAGCATTTCTTCACCAGCGCATGTGAGGAAACTACTAACCCAGCCGCGAAGCAGCTAGCAGCTAGCTGGCAAGCAGCAGCATCAGGCTTGGAACTGCAGCAGGACCATCAAACAAGAAGGCTTAGGCCTACTTTGGACAGCACCCTGCCAACCGAGGTAGACAATCCCCTTGGACTACTGGCAACGAAACCTTGACCTTTGGCCCCTCAAATAGCTGGAAATTGCCCTTGAAAGGCTGCTGTCATGATGCCCGGCCAGAGTAGCGTGCTCGATCGGCATGGAGCGCTGTGTTTAGTGCGGCCAGGATGGTATTGTTATACATCCGCGGTGGACACTGACTATCCACCCAAAGATGTGTGGAGTGACTCACGTTTGTAGAAAATGAATCAGGCGTGGATTTTGTCTGGATGTTTCAAACCCACCAGTTCCTGACACCAACTGACTAAAATCCGCCATTTATCATGCCCCTAAAACATGGTGCCAACTTTCAGGTCTTCCTCACACTGCTGGTGTGTGTTCCATTTTTTGTGGCATAGGGTGCTGGCAGATTACGGGCCCTCCCATAGCTGCTGCCAGGCCCCTGTAATACTGCCAATGGGCCCCTATACCGCCCTCTCCTAATGCTGCTGCCCAAGTACCCAGGAGTCTCTCATGGGTCCTGTACGGCCTTTCCCATTTGCTGCTGTCTCCATCGCCCCCACCCCAATAAACTCCTGCTTGCATGTGCCACTTTCAGGTCTCCTCACCACTGCTGGTGTGTTCCATTTTTTGCTCATAGGGTGCTGGCAGATTATGGGCCTCCCATAGGCTGCTGCCAGGCCCCTAATCTGCCATGGGCCCCCTATACCGCCTCCTCATGCTGCTGCCAGGTCCAGAGTCTCTTCTCATGGTCCCTGTACGGCCTCCCATTGCTGCTGTCTCCATCGCCACACTCTGCCATGTGCCACTTTCAGGTCTCCATCACACTGCTGGTGTGTTCCATTTTTTGTAATAGGGTGCTGGCAGATTACGGGCCTCCCATAGCTGCTGCCAGGCCCCTAATCTGCCATGGGCCCCCGTACCGACTCCTCATGCTGCTGCCAGGCCCCCGTAATCTGTCATGGGCCCCTGTACCGCCTCCTCATGCTGCTGCCAGGTCCAGAGTGTGTCATGGGTCTGTACGGCCTCCCATTGCTGCTGTCTCCATCGCCACACTTCTGCCATGTGCCACTTTCAGTGTCTCCTCACACTGCGGATGTGGTTTCCATTTTTGTCATAGGGTGCTGTTCCCATGGCATCTCCCATTGCTGCTGCCTCCACCGCGGGGGGGGGGAACACACTGTGGACTCCGACACCACTTGGTTTTTGGCCCCGTGTACTGCCAAAATGAGTGAAGTGTGCGGTGATTTCTAAGATCGACGGCACTCATCTGCATGTCATAACTGGACTGTCAGTATTATTTCTCTTCCCCAGCAGACTCCATGGCAATTCTGAAATTAAAGGTAGCAGTGTTCTGCACTAATATAAAGGCTCTCTGAAGCTAGAAACACCCTTTTATAAGTAAATGCGCAGCGAATATATTCGAGACTCGAATCGAAATTTTTCCTCGAATTCGCCGAATCAGTCGATATCGAATTTCTGAATACTTTCGCTCATCTCTAGTGGGATAGCATCAATAACAGCATTTACCCTAAGTTTGCAGAAAGTCCAGTGCATAGCAGGGAGACAAACTTAGGTAAATTGCGGATATTATGAGAATTCTCCTACAACCTTAAACTGTCTCCCTACCATGCGCTGACTTTCTGCAAACTTAGGGTATTAGATGTTATGTGATCTCCACCTTAATCTGTCTCCTTGCTATGCACTGACTTTCTCTGCAAAACTCAGGATAATTAGTCCTCTATATCTTTTTGTCTGTTTGTGGTGATTGATTCTCGCTCCTTTGCCTTTCTGTGTGATCAGAGAATCAATCATCTTTTATGACTTTGCCTGTGTCTGGTTTGACCAAACACTCCCCCCAAATTCATGTGACACTTATCAGTTCACTAATTGTTGCGGAGAGGAGTTTTACTCATGTTTGATCACCTCCTATAAATTTAGGACCAGCTTAGTGGGGGAAGGTCACTGGGGGGGCTGGGGGGAGCCTAGGTGCGTGATGGGGGGTGCGCCTGGGGAGGACCTATGTTCGGGCTCCTTTCCGGGGAACCTGGTGTAGAAGGTTTTACTGTTGCAGATGGGGGGCATTGTCCTGCGTTGAGTGCATTTCTGCTAGAGTGCAAAACAGCAGTTGAACACAGCAGTTTAACTATAGCAGATATTCAAGCAGCAGGAAGAACTAATCTCTAAGAAAGGAGCTCTACTGCACGTGAATGGACTAGAAGAAAACACCCAGAAACATCTCCTACAATTTTGATTCCCACTCCATCTACCTTTTAAAATGCCGCCTCTACTCTTCCTTTTCATATTACTATCCTCTGCTCTCAAAATCTTCTCTCTTTACCCCTCTGCTCCTCTCCAAAGCTTATACATATCACCAGCACTTCTACCATCTCCCTACTACTGCTCTCTCATCATCTCCTGCTAATACTTTACTCACCTGCTGACCCAAACACCAGGACTGGAAGTCATGTGCACTCATATTACATCCCGCTCCCATCTTACTTTCCTCACCATCCTCTTCCTCCTAACCTCTGGGGATATCTCCCCAAAACCTGGTCCTCCTGTATCTCACCCCCACACCAGGCACCCTCCTTCCTCCGGGAATAGCTGCAATCCACTGAAATGAATCTCAGTCCCTGCTCCTAAAAAACCCCCTCTCTTTCATGTACACTCTGGAATGCCCGCTCTGTCTGTCATAAGCTCACCTCTGTCCATGACCTTTTTGTCTCCCACTCCCTTAACCTACTAGCAATTACAGAAACCTGTCTTCAAGCATCAGGTTCTGCTTCGCACGTTTCCTATGGAGGCCTCCTCTGGACCCACTCTCCCAGACCCAGTGGTCAGAAAGGAGGTGTGTTGATTTGCTTCTATCCCCACTGAGCACCTTTCAAGTCCTCCCTTACCCTACTACCTCTCTATCCGTCTCTTGCAGCTGTCAAACACAACCAGTGGAGGGAGTGGAGGTGGGCGGAGCCCAGTTCTTTGTGTCTTATGGACATACAGAGCGGGGCTCGAGAGCAAGCATGCACGAGTGCCCCCAGAGCAAACTGCTTGCTATGGGGGCACTCAGAGAAGAGGAAGAGCACTGGCGGGGGACCTGAGAAGAGGAGGATCGAGGCTTTTCTGTGCAAAACTATTGCACAGAGCAGGCATGTATAACATGTTTATTAAAAAAAAAAAAAAAAAAAAATCACCTTTGCTATCACTTTAACTCCAAAGGATTCACTTACTTTTACCTCCAGCATTGTGGATGTGTAATGAGTGTATTCAATAAAGACACAAGAAATTAGAATTGTTTGAGTGTTATCAGCAAAACACACAAATTACTACAGAAAACCAGTTATTGCCAAGCAGTTCGCATAATTTTTATTGCCACTGTATTTTATACATTTGATATGAATCATAAGATATATATGATATTGTGATTTTTTTAAAATGATAGCACAATGCAATTTTGCATTTATTACTTCCTATGGGTACTTGTGAATGCTGCTGTTTTAACTCATCTAAAAATTTTGGTAATTTTCACAGAGGGCAGAGATATGAGATTTTAAGATATACCCTTGCAGTGTGGCTTCCCCACCCCCCACTGCAAGGGTTACATGCTCGTTTGTGTCTAGAGTAGCACTAAAAATTCCTTTTAGCTATCATATTCCTTGCTCCCCTGGAAGCCAGCACTCAACTTGTTTTTAGAGAAGGGGTTGCGGGAACAGGTCTTATAGCTGGAGGGAGCCTGCAGGTGTGTGGGATTAGGGAAGTAAAAAAAAAGTCCTTTTAAAAAAGGAGAGGTACAGCAAAAGCTCTTTTTGCTGTACTTCTCCTGTGAAGCACAGGAGTGCAGTTCGTTTTGCACTCCTGTGACCTGTTTTCAGCTGAAAGGAGGCTGAAGCCTGCTGTCCAGACTGGGGAAAGATCCTGACTTTAAATTCGGGATCCACCCCAGAGTCTGGAGCAGCACCTGGCTCAGCCTCTCAGCAACCTGCTGAGAGCCTGGGCCACCAGCTCCCTCCTCTCCACAGCATACCACTTCAGTGAGCATGGGTGGCAGAGCAGACAGCGGTGGCTGACAGTCACCATTCTCTGCTCAGAGCAGCTGTGAGTGGTCATGTGATCGCTGAGTCATCACATTGGGAGCCAGTGGGGGACCGATGCTACACCCACTTCGGTAAGTATGATTTTTAGAAAGAACAAAATCCCAAACTTCTCTTTTAATGGTCTGCCAGGCATAAACAAGCATTTAACTTTTAGGGTGGTCATAGATGGATCTTCATTTTTTTTTTTTTTTTATTTGATTAGCCAGAGATTCCAAACAAGTGAGGTAGATGGAGGAATCCTGCCTGCTGTGCTATTGTATTCTGACAGCGGGGACTCCTCTGCTGTCAGAATACACTGATCAGTGCTGCAGCAATCAATGTAAAATTATCCAACATTCGATCAACTTCTCTTGAGTGGGAACAGCCATAGATGGATTGAAATTTGGCCAGTCCCTGCTGAATAGGCTGCAGTTCAGTTTAAAAAAATTCCCTGTAGTGGGCTTCAATATGGAGTAGCATGACACTCTCTGAAGCATTGTATTTTGAGTCCAGGCCAATGTGGTGATGCACCCTCAGGGGATGTTACAGCTTGGGCCTGCAGAAAGTAGGATGTATGGCACTGGTTATCATTTAACCAGGAAGGACCGGCTGCTTTTCTATTATGGACACTTTTGAATATATTGAGCACCTATGTGCACATGCTTGTCTTGGTCAGTGAATTACAAAGTTGTGAAGGAAGGAGAAGGACAAGGATTCCAGAGCTTACAGGTTCAAAAATCTGTAATAGCAACTCCCAATTTCTATCCTGACAAATTCCCTATAAAACGCATACACACAGGTGTCCCATCATTACTCCTTGAGAAAGTCTTCAGCCATTTGTTTCTCTTGGCTATGGTAATAAAGAGTAGTCTTTGTTTTAATAGCTATATGAGAAAGCATGAATGAATAATGAATGTAAAGCTGTTAGCACTAGCAGTCTATTGACTAACAAGTTTCCAGAGTTTTTGTATGTGAAAGCATTATCACAAAGGTAACGGTAAACAGGAAAAATAATCCTCAGCAGAAAAAAAAAACCAAACAATTTTTGAATTTCCAGAATGCAGTCAACCTTTCCAGTAATACAGAGGGCCTGTGTTAAATACAAATGCAGAACTGAAGAAAATGGTACAAACAACATACAAGCACTTATGGAACCCTTAATGGGAAGGATGCAAGTGCAGTGATCAGGAAATGTAAGCTACATTAAGCCACCTTAAAAGGATATCTACACCCAGGCCATGGACAGATCTAACTTTGTGCGGTTCAGTAGGAACGAGCCGAATATCAGTCCACTTATGGGCGGGCTGGTTATACTGAAGTCAATCTATAAATCTAATTTAGTACAACCAGCCTGGCAGTTTTTTTTTTTTTTGATGATCACTGTCGGTGGCTATAGCGATGGCAGGGAAACCTCTAGCTGTCAGAATTCCATAGCACAGCGGGAGGGATTCCCCTATCAACACTGACTGTGTTAATGGGGGAATTGAGCAGTTTTCTTTCTTTCTTTCAACCACAGAAAGAAAACTGCATCTTTGGACAGCCCTAGTCATGCTTTAAACATACAGTATACACTGACTGTGAATTCTTTTTGTATACTTATGGTTTCAAATGTTTCTTCAATGGATGCGTATTACTGTTGGTTTGCCCCAGATTTTCAAATTTAAATCTGTGAAACAGTTTTAAATCTGGTCCACAAAAACCCAACAACCTGAAGCAAATCAGCCTGAAAGAATGGACTAAATTATTACTTCATAGACTTACAGTAAAGCTGTACTCAGAGACATACTGTGTGCTGACTATTATTGCTGAACACCCTGTAATAATGCAAGTTCACCGACTGTATTTTGCTTTATTTATTTGTGTCCCTAAACAAGCATACAGATTCGACAATCAGTCAAAGTTAAGTCAGAACAGCTGCTCTGTATACTCATTCTAGGTCAGTGCCTAGAATATTAGAATATTGAATCCATTGGATTAGCATGATAAAAAAAAAACCCTCACATATTAAAAAGGAGGACAGGTCAATTGTTACCTCCCATTTTTTATCAGTACATGTTTTTTTAAAACTATTATTTCTGCAAGATGAGAGGGAAAGCCAGAGAGAAGGAAAGAGAGAGACTAAATCTATGGGACACACTCTGACATGATTCCTAAAATCACCTCATTAACAGGGGATCATATTTGCCAATAAATCAGCATAAATCAGTCACACCACAGACTTACCTGCTCCACACCCTCTACCTCTGGGATGTAGAACTGCAGCATATTTTGAATGCCACTTTTAAGTGTTATTATTGAACTTGGGCAACTTGTGCAGGAGCCTTGTAGCTTCAATTGTACAATGCCATCCTGGAACCCTCGGTAGAGGACATCACCACCATCTTCTTGGACTGTAGGCCTGATAAGGAAGAGAAAGAAGTTGGTACAAGACAAGTTCATACAGAAACTCTAAACTGTGTAACAGAAAATACTTTGAAAATTATTCATTCATCCTCGAAGTTTAAAGAAGGTTACTAAAATAATGGAATTCAAGTTGTCAGCATCAGTACTGTATTTAGATGATTCATTGGGTAATGCAAGAGAAAGCAGTGCACTTACAGCAAGTGCTCAAAAGGAATAATGACTGATGCCAGGTAGGAAGAAAAAGAGGACATTTTAAGGGAAATGCAGAATAAGAATGTCACTAAGCTGTCTTTAAAGCCAGACTACTGTGACCTGATTCAGTGGAAGGCACAGAGGTTTTTTTTTTGTTTTTTTTCAGGATAGCGAATTATTAAAGGGCTTAAATCTTTAACATTTATTATATAGTAGGAGAAAATAGGATGAAAAGGAGGAAATTTCTCTGCAAAAGAGTGAAAATCAGAGGAAGGAGAGGCAGGATAGGAAACTATAAATCCCCCTCTTTTGCAGTTTCTGCTTTGTAACATTTTTTTAACCTAGTGACAGAATCCTTTTAAAGAAAGCTGTTCAATACTTCCTAAAAGCATTGCAAATGATTTATGAAAGCTCGCTGTACATACTTCATCTACTACATCTTATACAAACTAATGCCAATGAGTACAAGGGTTTACAGCCACTGAACATAAGGGCACACCACATGTAAATAATACAGGAGTGCTTGAACTCTGGTTCCATAACGTGCCATTAAGTTCAGCTCCAGCATAAGCTTGCAGGGTTACTGAATCCTGTTTTTTAAGTAATCATTTATCCCTGCAGTATCCAGAGAGTTCCTTGTATCCTGGGCATGTCCCTGTTGTTGACCATGCAGATGGTGGGGTTTCAGAAACTCCCTGGACACCAGTCTATGCACAACATCAATCTGTTTTACCACCTACATTAAAAAAAAGACAGTCAATGTCCTAACAGCTTATGTGAGCAATATATATTTCCATCTCTTCACCTTCGTAATTCTCTCTTTATAATCCTGTTGTAGACAGGGTTTAAATCAGTGCAGGGGTATTGACACCCACAATAATAGCTTGGTGTTTTTTCCAAACAAACTGTACTAGTACAATGATTTGAGTTTCAGCTGCTTTCTCTACAGAAGTCCATGGACTTGTGGCATTTTTTGCTGGCTATCATCTAAAAAAAAAAAAAGAGTGGGAAATTTGAGTGGAGAGTGAAAAAGTTTTACTTTTGACTGTTTGTGATTGCTGGTACCTGTAGTTTTATTTTCTTCTTTGGGTCTTGCTAAAAGGTTTTTCTTTTTTAAATCACTTTTTCTCTCACTTTTTAAATAGGGGTTAATTGGTCACAGGTGCTACAGGTACTATATAAAACTTGCTGTAGAGATCACTCTAAGCATGCTCATTCTTGAGCTTGCCTGTATTTGGATAGCGGGACCTTTAATTGGGCATTTGATAAGTGGAGTTAAAAACCAGAGTGGAAAACAGGAGATTATAACAGGAGTCTACTGACCTGTAAGCGACAACTGATATTTCATATTAATAATATTGTAACTGGGATATGAGTGCTAGCGGGGTTGAAGGTTTTGTAAGTACACAGTGTGGCGCATGTATGCAACAATGGAGCAACAGCTCCAGGATGGATACCGCTGTGACAGATTTGAGCGGGTTGCCCTTCTGGAAACTTGCGTTAGAGATCTGGAGGAGCAACTTGCAACACTGTGCAGAACAGACAACCTTGAAAGGGGTCTTCTGCTCTCTGAGCAGGTAGCAAATGGGATTGATGTGGAGGGGCTAATCAGGATTATCAGGTAGGAAGATGGGTTACTGTAACGAGAGGGAGTGGTAGGGACTCACAGAAAAGAAAGGCTGGCCCTGGGTTTGTACACCCAAACAGATTTGCCAAGTTGGGTGAAGATGTGGGGGTGGAAGCCCTGGATGTCACTGCTATTCCTAACAGCCGGGAGGGCAAACCATCTGGGAGGGGTGGCGAGGGTTGTGCAGGAAGGCCTAGACAGTTGGTGGTAGTAGGGGATTCCATAATCAGAAGAACTGATAGAATAATTTGTCACCAGGATCGCCTCAACCGAATGGTTTTGCTGTCTCCCTGGTGCCAAGGTTCAACATGTGGTGGACCGGGTTGATAAATTACTGGGAGAGGCTGGGCATGACACAGCTGTCTTGGTCCACGTTGGAACCAATGACAAAATACATGGATGTGGAGGCTCCTTAAGAATCAATTTAAAGAACTAGGCTGCAAGTTGAAGGGAAGGACCTCCAAGGTGATATTTTCTGAAATATTACCTGTGCCATGCGCAACTCAGGAAAGACGGGGAGATTAGAGAACTCAATGCATGGCTAAAAATCTGGTGTAAGAGGGAATAATTTGGGTTTCTAGAGCACTGGGCTGACTTTTCATTGGAGTGCAGCCTATATGCTAGAGATGGTTTGCACCTAAATGAAGAGGGGTTAGCTGTGCTGGGGGAGAGGTTTATGGGAAGGCTGGAGGAGTATTTAAACTAGGATCAAGGGGGATGGAGAATTAGATTAGAACGGGGTAGACAGATCAGACAGGGGTCAGTACTTATTGGTAGGTGGAATGGGGAAAGATGGGGGGAGGGCTATGGCAGATAAGAAGGTTCCCAGGTTACAAACAACCAGTGGAATTGGTACCATTTGCATGGAAATAAAAATATGTAATATATGTGTACACAAGGTGTCAATGAATTAAAGGGTTTATTCACCAATGCTAGAAGTCTGCCAAGCAAAATAGGTGAGTTGGAAGCTTTGGTGCATGAAGAGAACTATAATTTAATTGATACTGCTGAATCTTGGCTCAATTCTTCACATGACTGGTCCATTAATATTCCTGGCTATGTTCTCTTTCGGAGAAACCGGGTAAATAGGAAAGGTGGTGGTGGTGTATGTCTCCATGTGAGAAGTGATCTCAGAGCAAGTGGAACTGTACTTGGGGGTGCATACTACAAAAGGTAATCATTGGAGTTTGTTATAGGCCTCCCAGTGTTAATGAGGAGCTGGAGATACTCAGCTCCTTGCACAGATCGAAAGGGCTGCAAAAGTGATAATAAATGGGGGATTTTAACTACCAGGAAATTGACTGGAGTAATGGTACTAAAGTAACAGTTAAAAGGGCAAAAATTTTTAAACCTACTACAGGACAATTTTATGGTACAGTTCATAGAGGCTCCAACTAGGAATGATGCTCTGCTGGACCTGGTAATCGCAAACCAGGTAGAGCTTATTACAAATGTCCATATAAAAGAACATCTGGGCAGCAGTAACCAGAACATGATTTAATTTATTGTTAGCTGTAAACAGCAAGCACATACGGGAAAAATAAAAAACGCCAAATTTTAAGAGAGCTAATTTCCAAGGCTGAGAGCTGCTCTCCAAGACTTAGACTGGGAGGGAATATTGGCATCAATGAACACAACACAGAAATGGGAGGTCTTCAAATAGACTGTATATGAACACACTGAAAAATATATTCCCATGGGCAACAGGTTTAAAAGGCTAAAAATTAAACCTATGTGGCTTACGGCCAAAATTAAAAAAAAGCTATAGATAATAAGAAAAGAGCTTTTATTAAATATAAAAATGAAGAAACGCTATCATCGTTTAATTATTACAAAGAATATAACAAAATATGCAAAAAGGAAATAAAGGCTGCAAAAATGTAAAACGAATGACAGATTGCAAAAGGTAGCAGAACCAACCCCCAAAAAAATCTTCAAATATATTAATAGTAAAAAAGGTCCGGTCCAAGCATGTAGGCCCTTTACAAAATAATCTAGGAGTGGGTGACTAGGGACAAAGAGAAGACAAAATGTATTAAATACCTTCTTCAGCTCTGTGTATACAAAAGAGCACGGGGAGCTCTTGTCCATAATGGGCATGGTATTGACACAGCTCCAGATGATCCACATTGGCTCACAATTGATATAATCCAAAAATATTTAGACAGAATAAAGGTGAATAAAGCACCTGGACTGGATGGCATACACCCAGGAGTCCTTAAAGAATTGAGCTCTGTTATTTCAAAGCCATTTTTCTAATTTTTAGGGACACGTTAATGACTGGCATTGTACCACTGGACTGGCGTAAGGCCAATATGGTGCCAATATTTAAAAAGGGGTCAAAATCTTTACCAAGTAATTATAGATCTGTTAGTTTAACTTCTATAGTTGGGAAGATACTGGAGAGTTTAATAATAGACCACATAGATGAGTTCTTGCTGGAAAACATATTTTAAGCAACAGATAGCATGGATTCATGAAAGACAGAAGTTGTCAAACAAATCTGATTTCTTTTTATGAGGAGGTGACCAAAACCTTGGACAGAGGGGGTGGCGGTGGACGTGGTATATTTGGATTTTGCAAAAGCATTTGACACAGTTCCCCAAACACAGCTAATGTGTAAGGTAAAGTCTACGGGCTTAGAAAAATCTGTATGTAAAAATGGATAGAAAAACTGTCTAAAAGATTGTATTCAGAGAGTAGTGGGTAATGATTCATACTCTGAATAGTCTAGGGTTGTTAGTGGTGTACACCAAGGTTCAGTGTTGGGACCCTTACTTTTTAATATATTTATAAACAATATAGGGTCTGGGATTAAAAATCCCATTTCAGTCTTTGCAGATGACACCAAGCTGTGCAGTGGAATAACGTCCTTACAGGATGTCTCCAACTTACAAGCCAACCTCAATGCACTGCTTAATTGAGCAACTATGTGGCAAATGAGATTTAATGTTGATAAATGTAAGGTTATGCACTTGGGGGCTAAGAATATGCATGCATCATACATACTAGGGGGAGGACAACTGGGGGAATCAATGGCGGAGAAGGATCTGAGAGTTCTAGGTAGATCACAAGCTTAATAATGGCATACGATGCCAACTGCGGTTTCTAAAGCGAGCAAAATCATCTCTTGTATTAAAAACAGGTATAGACTCCAGAGAGAGAGATATCATTTT